CAAGTGCTGAGGGCACTCGCTCAATGCCAGAAAACCACTAGGCAAAGTGCCGGCAAAGTTAACTTTGTCAGGTACTTCTCCACGAGTTCTTCGCAAACACGTGGAAACAACTTTGCGGAGTGCAAAAACCTTGTACTCGGCAAACAAATAGCATGGACGGAACGACTAAAACAGCATCGGTGGCACGTGTCGTCGAAACTTTGCCTAATGTTGCACTCGGCAAACCTCTTGAGCATAATTAAACAAAAGCCGGCGCCGCCACTTGCCCCCAATCTCACAGTGACCGCTGTCATTGCCTCTCCTCTTTCTCAACCAAAGTCGATGTGCAAGGCTGAGGTCCCTAGCAGGAGAGCAACATCATCAGGGATGGGATATCGAATAAAGAACACGAAGACAAGGGCGAGAACTGTGAATGAGGGGGCAGTTTGAGGGAATGCCATAAGGCCATCATGGATGGGATATCGAATGAAGAACACGAAGACAAGGGTGAGAACTGCAAATGCGGGAGCAGCTTGAGGGAGTGCCATATGGCGGCCGTGGCACTCGCGCGAGAGCGCTTGCTTTGCGGTCCGTGACCTAGCACCGCTGTGATGCAGTTGTCTTGACCATGGCGTCCCTGATGGGGTGGACGACTCTGGAGAGGTTCAGAAGGTCATCCACGCGCAAGTTGGTGTCTCCCATGGGCCGCGTCCCGTAGAAATGGCGAGCAGGCTGATTCGAGTAGCAAACAATAACAATACTAGGACGCTTGTGTGTTACTCCCTCTGTAAACTAATATAAAAACGTTTAGATAACTAATGTAGTAATCTAAACGCTCTTATATTAATTTACGGAGGGAGTACTATAATTCCCAGTATCCATCAATTCCCAACAGGAAATGTCTATCTGAAACAGTATCTATCACCATCCGTTTCTCAAATTAATTCTGCTCTTTCTGATAGAGAACAAAACAGACTAGTGGTGCCATGTACTGGTTGTTTAGATGTTCACATCCAACTGATCAAATAATCATTTTGGCCGGCACAACACGTGCTGACACTGTTCATCCATGTTACACTGACATGCAGGGAGAAGCTAAGGATATCAGGCTATCAGCACACACCGCTCCGCGTCGGGAGCCACTCCTACCCTATCCTATCTTATAAGTGAGATTTCGAATTGAAGACCTACATCCTAACCTCGCGTGCATGAGGTTAACTGTGAAGTTATAAACAGAAAGAAAAATAGGTCTATATTCAACCCCAAATTACACATCAATATATATAGATAGTATTTAAACCCCTTTTCTGTGCCAGCTTGTCCACATCAATTATTTAAACCCCCTGGTGCATGCATGCTAACTTACCTAGAGCCACCTTAACTGGCAGTGGGGATTTCTCAGTGCAGGTTCCTCCCGGTCTTGCCATCGCCTTTCATTCCGGGCATACATGGAGAGTCATAGCCTGCTACCCTGTTCTTGCAGATCCTGGCACTGGAGCTAGGATACACTGCAAATGATTCCAGGAAATTATAAGCTAGCAGGGCTGACAAATGCATGGACGGTACTTCGATGGCTGAAACAAGCAGAAATAAGGTTGCATCCATTCTCTTACTGTCAAATTTAGGATATAGTTGTTAATAACTTGCTAACAGAGTTGTCCTAAATTGCAGAGAATGAAACTTAAGTTTTACACAAAAGTGCACAGCACCTGCTTTTCATTAAAATAAGAGTGGTGCTCGATGCAAAAAGAGATAGTTAGCTACTGGTGCTACCACCATAGTACAGTACCATGTCAGGCAGTGAAGGACACAACCACTAGCAACTAAACAGAGCAGATCGAAACTAGCATTCACCCGTAGTAGAATATAAATTTCAACTACTGACAAACACTTCATTGTCTTGTCGTACCTAGTAAAATCTTGTTCATTTTGCAAGTTTTATACCAGTGGCCCTTCAGTCCTAGTCCTAATTTAAATAGTAGGCCAAAGAACCTTTCCCATTGCTGCATGGACCAGCTCCAGTGGAGCAACTTCTGACTTTAGTCAACAAACAACATCACCCAATATAGTGCTTTGGTAAAAGACATGGCTATCAACCGGAAGGGTATCGAAGACACATGCAGCATCGAAACAAAGGAGCTGCCAGAGGGATTATCCAATGGCAAATCATGGCTATGGTTTTTTCCTGTAGAAGTACTCCACGAATCACCTCTGAATTTTAAGTGAGCATCTTACCTAAAAGAACCAAATGGGAAAACACGCATAACTGATTTTTTTCTCTCTCTCTGTAAGAATCATCGAATGCGATTAGAACAACATAACTAACCATGTGATCAGGGACCCAATGCAAAAAATTTAAATCAGTTTAGGACCCCTCTGGCATATACTGTGTGTGCTCTTGTATTAATCCATTTCAGAGTGAAGTGATCACAATACTATCAAAAGACCACCATGTTTCTTTTCCCACCATTCCCCAGATAGATCAACCCATGTAACGAGCTATGTGTGTACAGTTGTGTTTGTCAGGCTAACGTCATTTCACAGTCTAGTATCTCCTCCAATCAGCTATATCGAATATACATATAAATGCACCGTGTGAAAATATTGGCATATATGTAACTCCTAGAAAAAAGAAAACCATTCAATATACAACGAACAGAAGTACTAGTACACATTCAGTAAGACTCGTGATTAATGCACATCAGCAAATTGAATCGATCTAACCCATGAGCTAATTATATCTTTCCACTACGAACATGTGGAAACCATGTTATGTTTGTGTTCGGTCACTGTTACCACCAGCACTACTTTTTTTAGAAAAGGAGGATGACCTCCGGCCTCTGCATCTGGACGATGCATACGGCCATTTTATTAATTATTCTCACAAGACCTTACAACGTCATACAACATTAAGACTTAAGCCGCCGTCTAAGTAACAAACTGTCGCTACACCTATCCAGTTGATGAAGGGGCGCAGATAGCCTGGGCCTAATACCAAATAGACATCGCAGCCAAGCCTAACATGTAAGATCTGAGACCCCAACCTAGCCAGTTGCCGGGTCTGGGGCACACACTGGTCCGACGTGCTCTCAGCGGCCGCCGCCGCCAACTGCCACCGCTCCATCTTCAGAACTGTACTGATGCATCAACCTTGCTCGGTATAGCTATCGTCGACACCACCACGGCGCCCAACGGCACCTCCTCCCTGCGCGCATACAGCTGAACACGTCGCGGTCGCCACTGATACATCTTAGCGCCATGCTGCCAAGTATCACCAGCCGACACAGCTTGAAGCCCTTGGAGGATCTGTCGTGCGTAGCACCTGCCGACCAGGCATGACCAAGCGTAGCACCTGTCGGTCAGGCATGACTTGACATCTCCACCGAAGCTCTGTGCAAGACGAAGCCGCTCCACCTCCTGCCTCTGACTTCCAGCGCTGCTCCACAAAACGATGCTCCCAAGAGAGAAACGACACCGCAGTGCCGCCATCGTCCGGTCTGGAACACCAGATCCTAGGGTTTCCTCCGGAGCAATACGAGTGGGTCGACGGTAGTCACATGACGATGCTTTCATCAAGGTAACGACGTGGAACGCCGCCATCGCCCGCCGTCGGCTCGGTTTTCACCAGCAACTACGTCTCCCCGACTCACAGCTGGTGCCAGATGACGGATCCCGAGATCCGAACATCCAGCCTCAGGCCGACCACCTCTGACGGAAGAGATGACCACCGCCGCCGACTGCACCGATCAGAACAGATCTGATTGGAGGTGCCGCCGACGAGACCACCAGGCCCTCCACGCCGCCGTCGCCGATCTGAAGGTAGCATGCACGCCACCGCAGCCAAGCCGGCCGCCGCTGACCGCCGCCGCCGCCGCCGCCCGAAGGGCCATCCGCAGCGCCCGCAGCCCTGGCCTCCGCCGCGCCAAGCCGTCACCGTCCGAAGACGGGCCAGCCTCCCACCGCCTGCAGCCATCCGCCGCGCCACAGATCCCAGACCGGTCGCGCCACCACACGCCTTGGGGTCCGCCCCACCCCTGAGACGCGCGAGAGAGGAGATCCCCCGCCACCGCCGTCGGCCCCCGGGCTTAGCCCGGCGGCGTCTTCCAGCAGCGGCTGAGGGAGAGGAGGAGGGAGTTTGCGGCGGCGGCGGCGGCTAGGTTTCTGGTCGCCCGAGTCGCCCTAGAGGGAGGACGACGCGGGGGTCGCGGGAGAGGAGCAGCTGCTGACGTTTAGTCCGCTCAACATCAATACCACTACATTAATTACATGCAGTTTTTGGCAGAATAATTTGAGGACGCGAAGAAAAGAAGCTAGCTACCAAATGCTGACATTTGTTACTAGTAGGCACGTACCTTGACAAGAAAGGAACAGCTTCAGAAACAGAAACTTGGATTAAATCTTTGAAATAGTCCAATCTGCTTCTGCTACAGTATACTGCTACTGCGCCCTTAAATTAGAGCAGAAATTTCAAGCTGCAGGCGCACCTTGTCAATTTTCCTCCTCTCTAAGAACAATCGCTGCCTTGTCTTCTTCACAATGTCTGCAGGGCCCCTTGCTTCATGCTGCTTTTTTTCCTCTCTACCGAATCATGAAGCACCGGCAATATGCTAATTTGTTTTGCTTTTCCTAAAGATGATTTTCAGCCTTGCAGGTTTCCATGGTAGTTAATGCACAGCAAGAAATTGACATTAGGATTTTCATTTTTGATATAATTTTGGAGTCTGGTCATCTGATGATGTACACGGTGATTTTTCTTCCTTGCCGGGTACAGTTTCGATGCGTACAGCCACAGGGCAGATTCTGCTGCATTACCCAGGCTGCAGTATATGGCTGTTAAGTTAAGAGTGCACAACTCTAAGCGTCTAAGCCAGACAGACAAGCCTATATGTTATGGCCACTAAATTTCTAGCACAACAAATGCCCTGTCCTGGCACCTGCCAAAATCCCTTTTTCATAGGTGAAGCACAAGCTTATATGATAAGTACTACCTTGTTTTATCACCTGAAAAGGGACCAAACGCACATACACCCAGCATGAAAACTTTGCAGCAAAGCTTGCATTTTTCTTTCAGTTTTGGACATTATAACGCGATTTCTCTGCGGTTAACAGATCCAAAGCTGTACTGAATTCATTAGCTACAGAACTCATAAATAAAAGGAACTAGCTCAAAGGTAGCGTTTGCCAAAATACAGAATGAATAAAGACCAATACTGAATGAATACAGTCAACTAGGCATCGCACAAGTAAGGCAGTAACCAGTCTGATTGAAGCTTTTAGTACACTAGAAGGTTGACAATATGCACTAGATTTAGGATAATCACAATAACTGATTTTCATTGACAAGGAGGCTGATTACAGTAGAATTTCGCCCCTGGAGCTAATACATGCATGTCCAGAACTAGACATCGCACAAGTAGGCAAACAAGAACAGGGTAACAACGTTCTTTGGAAATGACATTAAATTTAAGCTGTGGGGTTTACCAGGCATTGCTCCGAACAGGAAACCAAGCCTGCATGAGTGTAAGCAGTAGCAAATTGAGCAGCATGATTGAAGCAGATTCCGAATTAGTACAATGACAAATTGTTCAGCCAAAAGAAGAGACAGTTCTTGGGAGGAAGCACATGCTTGGTTTGAAGGTAAAGCTACTGCCCATCGGCCACTGCTAATGACCCTGAGAACAGGGGAACATAGGGTAGAAACCATTGTGCGTGGTCTTTCTCAAGATTAAGGATACGGCCAACTTTCTGATGCCGCATGTCGTATGATACCAAGGTATCATGTTCATATGAAACCAGGAAAATGGTATCGCAATCTGGATGCATCCCAACCACCTTATACCTCTGCCCGGTCATGCTCATAAGCTTATCGATGCTGGTGGTATGCTTCAGGACCAATTCTTTACTATGGCAATCCTTGAGCCACCAGATTGCGCTCTCGGAAAACAGGATTTTGTTGTTATCATCGGCAGGAGGTATAGCATAGTGTAAGCACCCTTGAGAAGATCCAATCGTACCCAATCTTCGACTATACGGCACGCGGATGGTTGTCCATACTTTTCCCTCCATGTCCACCCCCAACAGCGCATACTTGACATTCATGCGGTCCAGGCTGCCAATCACGTACATCATACCGCCGACGAAGACACATTTGCTCAGGAAGAACAGGGCAACTTTCTCAACCATCCCACTGTCCCGTTGACACCAGTCTCCTGTCCGCGACGAGTAGATGTTCACTCTTGTGATGCAAGTTCCGAAATAGGCCTGCTCGAAACAAAGAACATGGAAATAGGACGAGACTGCCGGGTCGAAAGCCAGGCCTGAGGTAGTGCTATGTCTGCTCGCCGGCGCCTGCGGCTTGGGCAGTGGGGGCAGCTCCACCCACCTCCTGGTGACGGGATTGCACACCACAAAACGGCAATCGTGCTCTGCCCAAGACAAAGGGTTCACCTTGTTCTTGCAGCAGCCGCGGTAGAGGAGGAGGCCATTGCAGGCGTCCATCAGGGCCATGTCCTTGTACTTGGTAGGCCGCATGCAAGGGAGGCAAGGGTCGAACGAGGATGCCACATCGCCGGAGACAGCAGCAAAGTGGAGGTGGCGCGCGTTGTTGCTTATGGTGGTGTAGATGAAGCCGGCGAGTGTCTGGAGCAGCTTGTTGCGGTTGGCGGGGTCGGCGATGAGGTCGCGCCACGACATGGAGACGCACTTGAAGCGGTGGAGGGATCTGGCGGGGAGGTGGGACAGGATCTCCAGAATGAGGTCGTCGGTGAGCAGGCTGGCCGCCGTCGCCCCTGCCCCCGGATGGTTGCCCAGCCTCCAGTTGGTCTTCTTCTCCAAGATCCCCTCATCCGCCTCCATGGAGCTGAATCTGGAGTGCTGCATGGACAGGGGGCACCGGGACAAGGGTCAGGCCGGGCCGATCTGAGATTGGAGATAGAAAAGAAACCTGCAGATGGGAAGAGGAAATCGTCGACCGGCCGGGCTAGTAGGTGGAGCGTACCTGGCTTTGGGGCGCCGGCGGCGACTGTGGATGTGGACGCCGGCGGCGACTGTGGATGTGGACGCCGTCGGCGACGGTGGATGTGGACGCCGGCGGCGACGGTGGATGTGGACGCCGGCGGCGGCGCTTCGCACCTTGGAGAACAGTCAACGAGGGTACGATGGACTTGCCAATATACGTGCCCTTTATGAAATAGTCTTTGCCGCATCTCAGCCCGAGACTTGTTAAATACTCCAAAGATCCCCGAAAGTTTTTGACCCGTACAAGCACACCTTAACACATGTGAGAATCAGAAAAACGAGTTATTTATCCAAAACCATCACACTTGAGGTTAGGGTAATCGGTCGGTATCACATTTGAACCATGTCACAAAAAACCACCAATTCTCGGACTAATCGGAACCGCGGAGCACTGACTGGTCGATTTAGCCGCGGAAACAGCGAAACCGACAGGTCGAACCCACCTGTCGGGCTGACGTGGCGTGCCTATGTGCATAATTCGCTGAGGTGGCACAAGGCCCCACCTGTCGGGCTCTCTCTTCTTCCCCTCTCTCCCTCTAGTACACCAACCCCCACCACTGTCTAATCCCGCACCGCCGCCGGAGCCCAATCCCGGTGAGATACACCACCACCGGCGAGTTGCCCAGCCGCCCCAGCCACCTATAATCCATGTTGAGCCGCCGCGCTGGACCTCGTACCTCCATGACTGGATGTCTCCCTGGACGAACACATGCGTGCGCTGCATCGGGCATTGAGGGCGGCGCGAGATGGCGGCGAACTGGCGTCGCGAGATGGCGGCGCGAGTTCGGCAAACCAGAAGCATCGGGCCGCCCCCTAGGCTTCTCGTACATGGGAGATCCTGCTCGGGCTCAGGCTAATGGAGGCGGTTGCAACGTCGGGCCTCGTGGTCGCAATGATGAAGCACGTGTGGACGACGCTGGAGCTACTGTGCCGGGCTGCCGGCGGCGGTGCGCAGGGAGGCCCTGGCCGCGCGCCGTTGAGGGCATGTCCGTCTGCGGCCGCGAGTCCCCCATCGACGTCCCCAGAGAAGACCACCATGGGCGTCGGCCGAGTTTCTCCTTACCGCAGCTGCCTCGCGCGCTCGTTCCCAGTGCGCCGCCGCACGGCCTCGCCTGGTGGTGGCGCCGGTGAAGACACGCACATAGCGTGTTTGTTGAAATGCCCATGCGAAAACTGAAGAGAGGAATAAAAAGAAAATGTGAAAAAAAATAAACACTCTAGTCATTGACAGGTGGGGCCCTCGTCCAACTCAGCAAATTGTCCACACAAGCACGCCACGTCGACCCGACAGGTGGGCCCGACCTATTGGATTCGCTGTTTCCGCGGCTAAAACGGCCCGTCAGTGCTCCACGTTACCAATTAGTCCCAGAGTTGGTGGTTTTTTGTGACATTGCTCAAATGTGGTACTGACCTGTTACCCTAGCCCCAAGTGTGATGGTTTTGGGTAAATAACTCCAGAAAAACAGAAAGTACTCTAAAACAACCAGTAAAACATGAAGATCCCCGGAGCTCTGTGTCATCATTTCTAAATCTTGTGAGAATGTCCTCCCTCCCCCCGTGCAATATAAGAATCCGCTACCAATTCCAAGCAAGTCATCATCTTCAACCACGGCATAATCTCCGCCTCGCTGCTCCCCCTTTTCTTCATTCCGACACCCAAAAGACAAGAACACACATGTGCATCCAACACTCCTGCACCCGCCTTCACCATCTATGACTTTGAGTACCGCTATATGTGCCTCTTCCAGATATGGAAGAACTAGGATCGGGTTCCGGTGTTGCGGCCCGGCCAACCCCCTGGGCAACGCAGGACATCCCTCCAGCAACATCACAAAGAAATAGGAAGATCAACAACAGAAAATCATACCAGACGCGACACCACCACAGCGGTCTCGGCAACGTCTCCCAGACCCCTAACCCTACTGCCAATCCACCCCACACACAGATCCGAGGTCCCCCCCCCTCCCGCCGGTGGAGCAGCTGGCGGAGGGAGAGAGAACAAAGGAAAGTTGTGTCGCCTCCTTCCGCCTGTGTACGAGATCCCCTTTTTTGGGGCAAGCGGTTGACACACTTACTAGGAAGGACATAAGAGGAGAGGAGGCAACGCACGCATGCACGAGCGAGTGAGCTAAGAGACTTGTTAAATATTAGTCGATCGATCTTACATCGAAATTCGTGTAGCTTTTTATTTTTTTCTTTCTAATTCCTACATCTTATTACTTTCCCGACTCTTGATTAAGTCTTAATAACTGAAACCTAGCCAAACCCTATGAAATGTCAGACCTTGAAATTTGGGTCTAGAGACCATAGAATTTCATCAACAACAAGTCAACAGCAACCAATAAAACGTATATTCCAATATATCTACGGAGCAAACTTGTTAAAACCCATGAGTTTGTAAAAGTAGCAGCCCAGAAGTGGCCAATGTAGAACAGAAGATGCCGAAAACCATGATTTGCATAGCAACTATCGCCTCAAAGAAGAAAACATTAAAGAGGGCCTCTAGAACACCCCAGGTCTTGCCAGACGAGATTGGGGAACACAAATCTCACACGCACCCTGATGAGACCGAGACTAGCGAACCTTCGCATGTCAAAACTACAGCCAAAGAACCAAAACGTAAAACCATATTGTCCACTGCGTAGGACAACACCACCGAGACTTTATTTAACACTATCGCCGCCACAACCGGAAGTGATGAAGTCGCAGACATCGAGGATCTACATGTTTGTCCAATCTTGTTGTTGGATCTGATGGTGCAATCACCGTCGGGGTCGTGGAAGAAGCTAGAGGAAACATTATTGAACACCTCCGCCACCACTGCTGGGAGGGTAGTAGAAGATTCCGCAAGGCCCTATTTCCCTAGGAATTATGGGAATCAAGAAGCGAGAGTTTCATGCACTAAAGCAAGGAGGCAACATCGTTAAAAATATGTTAGCACTGAAGGTACCTACAAGGAACACTTTACAGAAGGACTTCAACAATGTTTATAGTACCAGATAATCACTTGTGACTGCCGAACAACCAGAAGACACATACAAGCGCAAGATGGTCAGCAAGGTAAGCCCCAACAACTAGAAGCACCGCTAGTGGCAGCTAGCCTTGTGTAGGCCTACTTATCAGCAGCAACCAAGAGCTCTTGCACATCGCCCCAACTATCAGCCAATCAGTATGCACCTCAAAGGCTTGCCTACCAACAACAATTGTGGAAACAACAAACCTTCATGTGTCAAAATATTTTCGGTCTGACCCCTCCTTCAGTAGATTATCACAAAACGACACCGAGGGAAGGGGACTAGGTTATTGTAACGGCTTTGGTTATTTTGGATTTCACTCAAATGGATTTGGTCTCCAAAGTAAAAACCATACACCAGGAAGAAGTGGGTATATATACAACCATAAATATCTAACATATAAAGCCTCCTACACTACCCGCCATTTCAGCGCCATCGCAGTTCGAAAATCATCCTGTGCGCACAATGGTCCTCGCTGGCAGCGGTAATAGCAATTTCATCGACCTGGTAAACATCCGACCTCTCGTTCATTTGTACGCCACAGGTTCGGCTCAGGAGCAGCTGACGAGTGGGCCACTCCTATACGTGGGACAGGCTCGCAGCGACGCGGTCGGTTCGCGATTCTGTCGATGGAGAGCCAGGGCGGGTCGGTCGTGGGCTCTGGCCAATCGCTCGTGGGTTGTCAGGGCGTCTTTTACCATGTGGTGGGATTGGCCAACCCTATCCACCAATTCCCCGTCCGCCTCCTCCTCCCCTGCTCGCTCGCCCCGCGTGCGGTCGCCGCCACTCACGGCGATGAGCGGGCAAGGCCGCGTGAGCCGATGGGCCATTGCAGTCGCCGCCGGGAGCGGCTGCCTCCTCTTCCCTTCCCGTCCCCCGGTTCCTCCTCCGCCGCCGCCGCCGCTCTCCACTGGCCGGCGAGCTTCACCCCTCCCCTCCTCTCCTTTCCCCCACAATATCCACCTCCTGCCCCCATCCTTCGCGCCCGAGAAGCCGTGGCCGTCGCTTCATCGAGGGAACGGCGTGCCGGATCCGGTGTCCCCGTTCCATGTCGGCCACCGTCCTCTTACCACCCGCCTCCCGCTTCCCGACCCATCCCCGTCTCTCGACGCGGCACAGGTAGGAGCTGGCTGTTCAAGTGTCCATTGACGGCGGCGAGCCCGAGCCGGCGACGTAGATCTTACCGGTGGACTGCCGGTCGTCGACGCGTTGCCTCGGACTCCCACAGCCGCAGCCGCAGCCGCAGCAGAGGATGGCCACCGAGGTATGCCCTCCTCTCCATCCTCCCCTTTGTTGTCATATATTCTTCAAGATTGGAACTTGACGACCATGCCGCTCACCTCATGGTTTGGTTACGTACGTACACATATACTTGGCCAGCCATGGGTGCTTGCTGTGTTGCCTTCTGCAAGCATTTGTTTTTCCACTTTCGCTTTGAAGGCAACAATTTAGGACCCATCCTCTGTTTGTGCTTCGTTTACTCGCTGGGCTTTGCAGTTATGTGAGTCGTTGTAATATCTGTAGATGGGCAATTAAAATTCCTTCTGTTGATCGATGCTATCTTTAGTTGTGTAGGTTGAAACAAACGTCAATGGCTGTTGAGTCTACCTTGACCCGTGGCACTGTTGTCACCCTGATTGATACATTTCTCTGAGACTTGAATTGTTTCTCATACCTGACGCTAACGAACACTAGAGAAATATTGGGATTTCACTCTGTCAGACAGTCTAGACAACCAACACCTTATACCTGACTGACTACATCAATCTCTTGTTAAATACATAGGGGAGAAATATTGCAATTTATGGTGAGACTGCTGATGGT